AACTGGTTCAAAAGCTATCTTTCTGAACGTAAACAAAAAACAATAATAAATGGTAAATCATCTAACAATGCCAAGTGGTATGTGGCATCCCACAAGGATCCATTTTGGGTCCACTCCTTTTTTTATTATATGTTAATAACCTTCCAAGTGTTGTAAAATATGGGACAATTAGTATGTATGCTGATGATACTGCCCTTTATTATGCTTCTGATGACATTATAGATGTAACCCATAAGATAAATATTGACCTAGAAAATATAAGGAAATGGTTAATCATTTACAAATTAAGTCTGAATGTAAAGAAGACAGAATTGTTGATTATTGGCACACACCAAAAATTATCAAAGTTGTCTAATGTTAACTTAGATATCAATATAAATGGTTCTCAATTGCAAAGAGTTCATCATTGTAAACACTTAGGAGTACACATTGATGAAACTTTAAATTGGAATACGCATATTGATCATATTAGATCTAAAGTTCTTCCAGGCTTATTTTTTTTTCTTAAGAAATCCAGTGATTTAATTCCCACTCATTTACAATCCCTTCTATATAAAGCTATTGTTGCACCCCATTTTGACTATTGCAATATAGTTTGGGGGAGGTGCAACAAAATATTAAGAAATAAATTACAAATATTACAAAACAGGGCAGCTAAAATTATTACCAAAAAACGAAAATATGACTCAAGTACTCAAGCACTTGTGGAACTTAACTGGCCTAATCTTGATCAAATGCTCAACATTAATGAAAATATCACAATGTACAAAATAATGAATGACTTAGCTCCTAATTATTTCAAAAATAGATTTATTCAAAGAGAAAGTAAATACAACACTAGGTCAAATGACAACCTTAACGTACCCAAGCCAAGAACGGAATATAAAAAAAGAAGTCTATGTTACCAGGGGGCTCTTTTGTGGAATAATTTAGACAGCAATATAAAAAATTCAAGCACACTAGAACTTTTTAAAAGAAACATAGTAATGTAATAACCATTATTATGTATTATATATATTTGTTTTTTCTTTGTACTAACACTTAATTATTTTAATCTAACACAATTATTTTGTTTAATGTCCATACGGCCTCGTGGAAGAACACCCACTTGGGTGAACGAGTTTTTTGACCGTTATAAAATAAAGTTGTTATTATTATTATTATTATTGAATGATATCGATCTAGGCCTTAGGCCTATTTAGTATATATTTACCTATTTAGGAACTGGAGGCAGCAGGAGGAATAGAAAACCAATTAAATGGTGATGTTTTAATTGGCATGTATGTTTTGAAGAGCAAGACTATATAGGCTACAGTATAAATAAATATAATTATAATAATCGGTCGGCCCCTAGCCTGGAGAAAAGTTTTTTTTAAATGAAAATGATAGGTAGGACTGTGGGAAGGACTCAGCAGATAGCTAGCCTAGGCCTGTAAAGCCTAGACTAACAAAAAAAATTTTGTTATTTATAATTAATAAAAACAAATGAATACATGGGCAAAGTATAAGTAAAAGTAAACAGTGCTTTTTTTTTTATTTTTAAAAATTTTTACGGTTTTAAGGGCCAGTTTTGACAATCGTAAGTAAAGTGAAGACCTGGACGTAACTACATATAAGACTACTAAGCGTAGTCCTAGGCTTACACATGAGCGCTGCAGTGGCCGATTGAACAGATTTTGGGCCACATTATGATCTTAATATCTCGACCGGACATTACTGGACACGGTTAATTCGTGTACCAAATGAAAAATACAGCTTTCTACTTTCGTCTGAACTAAATTTTATTAACCGGCAACAACCGGGACCCTTTACAAACATCATTTATTGACATCACTTTCATTCTTGATACAATAAAAATAAGCCAATACTTACAAATGATAAAAGAAATATTTATTTTAAGCAGATTTTGACGTTTAAAGTATGTATTTTCTTGCCAAAAAAAAACTCTGTCTGAATTAATACACCAAACACCACACAAACAAATCGTGGATAATGAACTACGCATGTGTTTTATATTTCTAATGTGTAATTGTTTGTGTATTAAGTACTCCAATAAAGTCTATAGAGCGTCTATAGGGGTTTACACTTATAAGCGGCGAGGAGCTGTGTGTATAAAGAGAGGGGGCGGCCGTAGTGCAAATTAATAGGCTCTGGCTGACTGTTTAATTGAATTAAAGATAAGCGATAAAGTCAATGTTACTCCTTTTGTTTTATTTTCTCTATGGTAGGAGTAGGTCATTTGTCTGTTACGGTTGAGTAATCCCCAACTTTGGGGAGCCTTAACCGTTTTCTTCCTAACTCTTTTTTATTATTACCAAAATAGAATTGAAAATTTAAGGAACTCAATCTTCCCCTAAGAGTTCTCTATTTCCTCCTTTTGATGAATAGCAATGATTGATAACGACGTTGCATTTCATGATTTGTGCGACAAGACCTAACTAAAACTAATCATTCCTCTACAGATCTATGTCTAGCTCTTGGGATTGAAGATGGAACTATTCCATCAGACCAGCTGACAGCATCCAGCGAATACTCTAGCCAAAATCTTGGGGCTCATCGAGGACGGCTCAACACAGTACGAGATGGAGATGCATACGGAGCCTGGGCAGCAGCAACTAATGACCCAGATCAGTGGATTCAAGCCGATCTCGGTTCTGTAAAACGCGTAGTTGGAGTAATAACACAAGGGCGAAGTGATGGGAATCAATGGGTTAAAACATACAAAGTAACTTACAGTACCGATGGTAGCATTTTCACACCAGTATTGGGATCGAGTGGTCAAGTTGAGGTATAATTAATAATTATAATGTTATAATTGATTAAGACATTACGACAAGTATCATGAAATGCGGAAATGTGTATTTATCATAATGTCACTACTTTTAGATTTTTAGTGCAAACTCAGATCGAAACACCGAGGTGAAAAACATATTCAACTCTGTTGTCTACGCTCAATTCATCCGTATCAATCCAATTACCTGGCAAGGGCACGTCAGTTTAAGATTTGAGCTTCTTGGCACAGGTAAACCTTATCTAAGCATGCAATTATTGTAGTAAGTTAAGATAATGTAATAATACACATTTCATCTAAAGTCTGATTATAATAACACAAACAGGTACCATAAATATTTTATTATTACATTCAGCTATAAATAAATTGTAAATACGGCTCATTGTAAGTAGTAATTAGGCCCAGTAAAAAAATAATTAGTTTATCACCTTCGCCCGCATGTCTTTTTTTGTATTGGGGAAAGAAAAAAAACATTTTGGGAAAAAAAACATTTTTTTTTAAAGTATCATACAGTATGAAGTATAGAAGTATTGATGATATATTATGATAATATTCAGGGGCGGATCTAGGATTTCAAAGAGGGAGGGGGCTCAGAAAGTTCCCAAAAACCCAAAAAAGAAAGGGTGGGGGTCCTCCCCAGGAAAATTTTGATTTCTAGATGGCCGGAAATGAGTTTTTCCGGACTTCTGAGGTTTCTTTTAAGTTCTTCAAAATTCAAGTTTTCCCTCTCTTGAAAAAGGTCAGGTAATTTTATCTCATTCTTAGGCCTATACATAGAGAAAAAAAGACATGTGGCAAAGACAAGCCAAACCAGTCACTCGTCGCAAAAATCGATTTTAAGTTTAATACCCGGGTTTAAGAGTAGAATACTGTAATAGCCATAACATTTTAAATATGCAGCTGTTTGAAGAACAATATATGAGAAATCAGCCTTCAAAGTTTATGATTTCAGGCATTTCTCATGCAGAAACTATTATCAACTCCTTAAAAAGTGTTGTAAATTTTGTTTCTTTTTCAATTTGTAAAGAATTTTACTAAAACTAACATCCATAATCATAAAATTATACCTCCATTTTTCAATAACTATTATATCTGAGATCATTATAAACTCGCTAATATCGATTAGATATGCCATTTAAGCCAAAGCGACCTCCTGGCCCCCAGCCACTGTTCGTGCCTTCGGCAATCATTATCTGTCACCCGATATTACTCTTTGAAATTGTTCAAGGTTGACAGGTATGGCAATATTATTATATTCCAACAATATTGTGTAGTTGGATACGTAGTCTTTCCTCCATGGATCGATAGGCCTGAAGAACGCACTTTCGTACATAAATTATTACGACATTGAACTAAAAACAGTCTGTTAAATTTATTTAATTGAAGGCTAATTGAGCTTGCCTAGTTTGTCTGATCTGCCAACCTATGCCTAGGAAGGTTAGCTTGCCTTTTGTAAGTCAGAACTCATTAGTATTTTGTTACGTTTCTTCACAGAGGGAGGTTTGTCCGAACCCCTTGAACATTCTCCCCCGGATCTGCCACTGATATTAATGTTAGGGAATTGTTAACTAGAAGATATAAAGTACCAATATCCCGTTACATTTGACATTAAATCTTTACCTTGCGTGATTTTTAAAGAGTACGAATGTAAATTAGCTTCAATTACGTTAAAAATTGGTGATGAACAATTAATATTATGTATATAATTTCTAAATAAAAGAGAAATCTCAACAAATATAAGTGAGTAATGTTGTAATGAAAGTTTGATCATGCACAACTAATACATTCAATGCCATACCATCCTACTAGGATCCTATTTGTATTCTTTGGTGAAGATAGACAAATTTAAGTAAAATACCAAACAAAATTAATGGAAATTGAATAGGCCTACATTATGCTTTCCATAGCAGGGGCGGATCCAGAAGTTTTGGTTAGGGGGGCTATAGGTATATGTGTAAAGTGCCTCCAAGTGCCTGCGGAGGCTAGGTTTGGGAGGAGGTGTCTCTGTCCGATAAGATGGGGTTCAGAAGGGTAGCTGAACGCTTTTATTAGATGTAGTATGTATATGTGTGTGTGTGTGTGC